TCTAAAAGGGGATTTAATAACAAACACACACACACACACAGACACACACACACACACACACACACACGCACGCACGCACGCACACACACACACGCACACACACACACACACACACAGAAAAACATGATGACGGCGACGACGACGGGAATCATGATAACGATGTCGAGACAGAAGGCGAAATAAACTGATCATGATCATTAACTTAACTCGAGGATGGTACGCATTAAAAAAAACAATATCATCACCATCACCACCACCATATCATCATCATCATCACCACGCCATCATCATCACCACACCATCATCATCATAACCAAGAACATGGAAACAAAACAAAAGTATCTACCTTTAATACAATTTTCGTTGTTTTCTTACATTCGAGCTTCCAGCTATATTAAACTAAATCCATCCATTTTAAATTATATATTAATTATTTTTTGTTATGAAATTATATTATAATAATATATAAATATATATACTACTGCCACTACTACAACAACAACAACTACTACTACTACTACAACTACTTATGCTACTACTACTACTACTACTACTACTATTACTACTACTACTTCTACTACTAATACAACTACTAATACTACAACAACAACTACTACTACTACTAATACTACACCAACAAAGAATAGAGCTGCTGTTACAACAAGCTACAGAATACAAATACTACAACTACAATAATTAAACGATTTTATATTAAAAGCATCATTTAAAATACCCATAAATAATGTAAAAATTACTAAAAATTACTACACAAGATAGAACAAATTAAACAGTAAAACTGCTTTCGTATTAACTACATATACAAGCGATTCAGACGAAGTAAAACTTTAAAAAGGTTCTAAAAGTACCACCAACTTAGCAGTTCCAAAATTTGAGATCGTTTTATATATACACACGCTTTCAACATTATCAATTATATTTATGTCTACACGCATAGATATATTCATACATACATACATTCATTTTGTACGTACATACATATTATTATGAATATACACCAACATACTACATATATACATACATACAAACATACATACAAACATACATATATACATACATACAAACATACATACAAACATACACACAAGCATGTGTTATATAAACAACGCGTGTCATATAAGTTTACGTCTTTATAAACATAGGAACATGTTGAACGTATGTATGTATGTGTGTTTGTGTATGTATGTATCTTTGTATGTTTGTTTGTCTGTTTGTTTGTTTGTTTGTTTGTTTGTATGTATGTATTTATTTGATTTGTGGTTGCGTAACCGTAATCGTCATAATAATAATAGCAACAAAGTTAATAATAATAGTAATAATAATAATTACAACAATAACAATAATAATAAGCAGACATTTATAGCTTGGGTTTTATGAATTGGTGATTTACATTACAAAACGTATCCACTTCAAATTTAGGATATAATAAGTTAGTCATCGTCGTCGTCTTCGTCCTCATCATCATCGTCGTCGTCTTCGTCAATGTTGTCAAATTAAATTTTGCTTCGATTAAAAATTCATCAAGAAAATGAACTGGTGATGTTAAGAAGTGTATGTGTGTGTTTTTATGTGTGTGTGTTTGTATGTGTGTGTTTGTATGTGTATGTGTGTGTGTGTATGTGTGTGTGTGCACGTGTGCGTGCTTAAGTGGGCGTAGAAGTAGCATACATGACATATCGCACTTATTTGTATGGTCGGTGTCTGAATGTCATCATCATCCTCATCGTCTTCTTTCTTCCTCATCATCTCCAAAATCATCTTTGCCATCGTCATTATCGTCATCATCTAAATCATCGTCAGTGTGACATCATCATCGTCGTCGTCATCGTCATCGTCATCATCATTCTGACCATGGTATAATGCGCAAGGCAAGGCACAAACTAACAAACATACAAACAAACATACGAACATAAAAACAAAAAAACATACAAACAAACATACAAACAAACATACAAAAAAACAAAAGAAACATACAAACAAAAAACATACAAACAAACATACAAACATAAATACACATATTTCTAAAGTATACATAAGTGTATTTAAGTATATCTATCGCACTGATATATTAGCATCGTTTCTCTAGCCGCAGGCTATATTAATCCTGGACATTGCAACATACACATACATAATACACCCAACACACACACAAACACACACACACACGCATACATTCATACTTACACATGCACACATACATTGCAGTTCGGTACAGTCGCGCATGGCATTCTAAACAAGATCTTTGTGTATTATAAATACACAAATATCCGCTGCTTCACACGTACACACATACATAACTATACACACACATACACACAACCATAAATACACATACACACGATGTATGTGCATATAATGCATTTATGTAGGGTATTTTTATTTAATTTTGTATTTATTACAAAAAAAAAAATATAAATATAATACCAGGTAGACATGCATATATATGTAAATATAAATATATATATATATATATATATATATATATATCATTTTTGTTAAAGCTTGGTTAAAGCTCTTTTTTACTTTCTATAAGGCTATACATTACACCATAAAACGTTTTTTTACTTAAATCAACTTTTAACCAGTCTTGTTTCGTTCGTTACATCACTATCGTTGACCCGCAATTTTTGTTTTCGCTAATCAAGATTTTAAAGTTTCCGTGTTAATTTTAGGCTTTTAGTCGGAAAATTCAACAAAAAAGTTTATAATTTTAAATATTATTCGGCGTTTTTTTCATTCTAAAAACTTTGTTGATTAGTTTAACATGCCGTCGTTCATTGATGAAGTTTGGACTCACTTTCAGTGTAGAGACCTCTACCAAGTTTTGTCCATTCCGAAGAGTTCTACAAAGGCCGAAAGTAATTATAATTAATTAGTTAATTAGTTTATTTATTAATTACTAACAATCTTTTTCTATTTATCTCTTATTACTACTCTCTCTTCTATCTCACTCTCAAAATATTTATTTTATATTAGTTATATAATTTATTCTCAACAACTACAACTGCAGTAAAAAAAGCTTACTACAGGCTTTCCATCACCACCCACCCCGACAAAGTTGATCAGGCAGACAGAAGTGAAGCCACCAAAAAGTTTCAAACCCTTGGTAAAATTTACGGCATCCTGTCAGATGATAATTTGAGATCTAACTATGATGAGACTGGTCAGTTTGGGAAAAAATTGTACACACACACACATAAATACACATACATACACACACACACACACATATATATAAAAACAGGAAGTATTGATGATGATAGCGATCTGATGACCGAGGACAGAGATTGGTCAGAGTATTGGCGATTGCTCTTTCCAAAGATTTCTACAAAAGACATTGAAAAATTTGAACAGAGGTACATAGGAAGTAAAGAGGAAAAGGATGATTTAATCAGGTTAGAAGATACTAAATTACTTGAGATACAATATTTTACTTATAAATTTTTCATTTTAACGACCCAAACTCAAAATTAACTTCTATCCAGTTGATATTCAATCATTTTTCTCAACTCAAAATTTAGAATCTACGAGACATCGAAAGGTGACATGGAGGTCATCTTAGCAGAGATGCTTTGCTCCACGCCTGAATTCGAGCAAAGATACCGAGAAATCATAGATAAATTGATAGAAAACAAAGAACTAAAAGTATACAAAAAATATTACAAGAGTGAGGAGCCTAAGAAGAAAAAAGCTAGACTAGCTAAGGTTGTTTTAATTATTATACATAGACTTGCATACATACCTCACTCACTCTCTCTCTCTCTCTCTCTCTCTCTCTCTCTCCTTCTCAAAATTTAATACTTCTTTTATTCCATATATTACACAAACAGGCAGCTAAAGAAGCCAAAGAGGCAGAAAAGATGCTGGATGAAATGAAGAGGAGACAGAAAGCTGAAGACCAGCCACAAAAAAGCAGCAGTAGCAGCAGCGGTAGTAAGAGTGGTAGCAGCAGCAAAGAAAATAAAACCACTACCTCTACTACTAACGACGACGATGACGATGATGGTAATAGTAGTCTGGCGTCCATGATTTTGAAGAAGAGGGAGAAGAACAGGGCGAATTTCGATAACCTTATGGACAATTTAGAGAAGAAATACGCCACTAAAGGGAATGAGAGAGTGAAGAAGAGTAAAAAGAAATGAATGAAAGAAGGTATATGTATATATATTTTAATAAATATTGGATTAAGACTGTCAGAAATGCAATTATTGATGAAAATCATAGCATGTTAAAAAACGCCGAACTAGCTTTGATTTTCCTCAATATATATTTTAATGAATTGAAGACCAAGGCTCAACTTCATGTGTTTATGTTACTCTTGATGGAAAAACCGAAAGAAATTAAGTAAAAAATAATTTCAATTCAATCGTTTCTTCATCTGTTTGTTCGTTCATTTATTCGTTTGCTCACTCGTTCGTTCGTCTTCTCATCCATCCATCCATTCATGCAAATATGCATGCCATAAATAAAATTTACAATAAATAAATAAATGAATGAATGAAAGAAAAAGTTATTTGATTTAGTTTCAAAATGAATAAAATTCAAAACAAAGAATAAAATAAATGGACAAATCAATAATAATAATAAAATTAATAAAATAATAATTAATAAAAGTTCATTTAGTTTATAATTTTAAATTTAAAAAATAGCGCGTTTTTAGTTTTTTTTAAATGAAGATGTAATCATTTGGATGGCAGTTAAAATGACGAAACTGATGAAAAATATCTATATATACATAGTCACACATATACCAACACGTGTTTATGAATGTGTGTGTTTATGTATGTATGTGTGCGCTTATGTGTGTGCATTTATGTGCGTGTTTAGGTGTGTGTCTAATATCTCGATAGAAGAAGCTGTAAGTTTATAAGGCAAATAAGAGTATTGATGAAATGAATATAATTAATAATAATATTGTTAATGATGATGATGATAATAGTATCAGTGATGATGATGGTGACGACGACGATGATTGACAGATGACATCATCGGCGTGATCATTAACAGATTAAACAAATCATCATCAATAAGCAATAACAACAACAATAATAATAAAAACAACAATAATAATAAAAACAACAATAATAATAAAAACAACAACAATGATAACAACAGCAATCATCATCGTCAATAATTGCAATCAGTCACGCGCTGTACACCAACTCAACCGAAATATTGGGGTAATAATAAAGTTGATTGGATCATCAGCACAAGCACACACACACACACACTCACATTTATATATAACTGAACAAATACATGTGAAAATATGGCCGCATATATATATATATATATATATATATATATATATATATCAAATGAAAGACAGAAAATTTTCAATCAATTAATGTCATTAAGTTTATTATCATCATTATTATTATTATTATTATTATTATTATTATTACTCCATAATTAGTTTCATCTACAGTTCAGACAGCATGAAAGGTGAGACGCTTTTGAGGGGGCCATCATCAGATGACGTCGATAATGACGTCATTGCATTATTATTATTATTATCATCACTCTTATTATTATTATTACCATTATTATTACTAACAATATTATCATTACCACTACAATTGTTACTAATATCATTATTACCACATTTTCCATCACTATTATTACTATTACCGTTATTATTATTGTTATTATTATTGATGACGTTGTTGTTGTTATTAGTGTTATTATTATTGTTATTATTGTCGGAGGGGGTGGGGCTCGGGTTTTCCCCGGGCTCTGGGGTGTAGGTGAAGGTCAACCCAGTGGCGTAGATGATTCCGTCGTTTCGTACCAGCATGACTGGCACCTGGAGTCATCAGGATGAGGTTTATTATTATTATTATTCAATAATAATAATAATAATTATTATTATTATAATAATTATTATTATTTATTATTATTATTTACGTAATAATAATAACCTGCAGGGGTTCTCTGACGTACTTCCATTGCGATCTAAAAGCCGAGATGTCTGGCACAACACAGAGCATTATCTCGCAACACCTGATTACAGATGATGATGGTGATGATGATGACGTTGTCGTTATCATCATCAACATCATCTGTATCATCAACATCATCTGTATCATCAACATCATCATCATCTGCATCATCAACATCATCATCATCTGTATCATCATCATCACCATCATCTGTATCATCATCATCATAACCTGTGCATGGTTTCAGCTTCAACCTCTCCGAACCACACCTTGAGATTGGCCGTGAAATTTTCTCCTGTCAACTCAAGCATAGCTACGTCTCCACCACCGTTCAGCTGGTAGTAGTAGTAGTAGTGTAGTAGTAGTTGTAGTAGTAGTTGTTGTTGTAGTAGTAGTAGTGATGTTGATGATGATAATGTATGTTAAGATTTTAAAAAGTGCGAATGTACCTCGAGTAGCGAGGCGAGAGAGTGTGGAGATAAGAAGATAAAAATTATAAGTTATAAATAAATGGAATAAATAAGAAAGAATTTTCATACTAATTCTATGTTATCATAGAATTCCTTCGTCTTCCTCATCATCATCATCGTCATCAACATCGTCATCATCATCTCTTTTATATCAACAGTATAATTTACAACATACGCAGACCCCAAATGTAAAGTATGTGAGTTTGAAATGAGTGAGTCACCATCACTACCTGCAAACTTTGGACGGTAGGGACGGGGGTGATAGGGTGTGCCACAGGGCCCATGCCCTCATAGAAGGCATACTCGGCGCAGTCCGTACTTATTATCGTCCAGAGGGCGCCGTCGTTTATCATCTCTTTGTTTGGTTCTTTGGGGCATGGTGTTGCCTGTGTTTGTTTGTTTGTCGTGTGTGTGTAGGTTGTACAAGTCTAAAAATATAACAACAAAACGAATGGAACAATAAATGAAACCAAAAGAGAACACGCATACAGAAACACACAAACAAAGCACACGTTCGTGTATTAAAAGCACACAGATCCATACAAATCCACACACATACCTACAAACGCATACAAATCAAGTACAGGACAACACATACAAAACGTACATACAAACTGAAATCGACCTGAAATTGTATAATTTTTTCGTGAGCGAGGCAGAGGTACATGTGGTCGGTGTCTTTGAGGTAGAAGGCGCACTTGTGCAGCTGGGAGACCGGCTCGTCCGTATCCAATATCACCGTCTGCTTGTCTACTTTCCGAATCACCTGATCGCGATGACGTCATAACGATGTGACGATGACGTCATAATGATGTGACGACGACGATGATGTTGTTCGCAGTGATGATGCTGGCGCTATAATGACGAACTAAGCCAAAACGAAATGTTAACCGGTTGTCAATTAGATGCTAATTTATGCTAATTGCATGCAGTTATGCAGACATAACTATAAAAATAACAAGAAGAAGAATGAGTAATAATAATAATAAATAAGAATAAATAAGAATAATAATAACCAGTCTAGGCAGTGCCATGCCGGTTTCAACGCAAACCAACTTGATGGTAGAGCCATAGTGGATGAAGCCGTCCTTCACGGAGAACTCCTCAGACTCACTCTCGTCATCATCCACTGAATGATGCAATGGATGCATGAATTAATGCATATATAGATGCATGAATGATTGATGAATGAATTGCTAGATGAATGAAAGGATAAAGGATTGATAAATGAATTGCTGGATGAAAGAATGGACAAATAAACGATGAGTGATTGACGACTGAATGACTGAATCATGAGATGAATGAACGAACGAATGAACGAAGAACGAACGAATGAATGGATGAACAGGGATGAACAAAAAAAAACGTACGTAAGTGAACTGTAAACGCTCCCCATTGTGTGGCACTGGCGTGAAAATTCCCTTTCTCAACGTGCAGATAGCGGGTGCTGACCGTCTGGGACCGTAACCGATTGAATAGCGACACTTTGCTACCGGAGCCAATGCATACTGTTGTTGTTGTTGTTGTTGACGTTGTTGTTGTTGTTGTGGTTTTTTGTAGTTGTTGTGTTGCAGGTGGTGGTTTTTTGTTGTTGGAGGTGGTGGTGTTTTTTTGTTGCTGTTGGCGGATTTGTTGTTGTTGTTGTTGACGGTTTTGTTGTTGTTGTTGTTGATTGTTTAGTTGTTGTTGTTGTAGGCGGTTTTGTTGCAGTTGTTGCGATAGCGTGTGTGTGTGCATTATCATCATCATCAACAACAACAACATCATCCTCCCCATCATCAGCAGCATTAAAGCGCAATAAAACTAATGTGTTTACAATTAATCAAAACCAAAGCTATCTGTCTTCATTCACCTATCATATAATGTACGAGTGTGTTTGTGTGTGTGCGTGTGTGTATTTATCCTAAAATACTGCCTCGACAATAAAACATAAATAATGCGATAATAAATAAGAGTGCAAATAACGAGTAGAGCAGGAAACGATCATCATCATTATCGCCCCCATCGTCATCGTCCTAATCATCATCATCATCGCCATCATCGTCATCGTCATTATCATCTTAACCATCATCATTATCGTCATCACTTTCCTCATCCTCGTTTTAAACACCGTCATAATATACGACAACCACATCGCAACAAAAACGTCAATATCCCAACAACAACAACGAAGACAACAACATCAACAACAACAGTAACAACAACAACAACAACATTAACAACAACAACAAAAACAACAGTAACAACAACAACAGTAACAACAACATTAACAACAACAACAAAAACAACAGTAACAACAACACTAACAATCGGCGTTTTTAATAGACTGTTTCTTCTTGCTGGGTTTCGAGATGACTTTGATCCTCTTACTCTGGAAGACGCCGATTGGCTGGGCGTTGGAGTAGAACATGCGAACGCTCAGCATGAAGTGCTTGCGTTTGTCGCTGTCAGATATGAAGAGCGTTTTGGCAGCGCAGTAATCCTGATAACGATGATGGCGGCGGTTGTGGTAGTTGTGGTGGTGGTAGTTGTGGTGGTTGTAGTTGTGGCGGTGGTAGTTGTGGCGGTGGGTGGTAGTTGTGGCGGTTGTAGTTGTGGTGATTGTGGTGGTGGTAGTTGTGGCGCTGATTTATGTGGTGATGGTGGTGGAGATAAAATAATGGTGTTCTGATACAGAAGTTATGTTGTGATATTAAGAATAAGATGATGAGAATTGCTATGAGTAGCATAATGGCGAGGACGACAATTGTGATGATGAAACTGGTTGCTATGGGTGAAACTATGCTATACATACATACATAGACATACATACAAACAAACAAACATACATACATACATACATAGACATACATACATCATTGTATACAGATGCCAGGTATTGATACATACCCAAATATACCATGAGAATAGAATTGTTTAGCGCAAAGTGGTATTGTGCCGTGCTATGTTATATTATCCCATGATTACAATTATAAACATTCACATGGGAAAATTCACACGAATATGTTTGTATGTATGTATGTATGTTTGTTTGTTTGTATGTTTGTTTATATGTTTGCTTGTATGTTTGTATGTGTGTACGTATGTACGTGTATGTAAGTATGCATATATTTGCGAATGTAAATGTATGTAGGTTTGTATGTATGTTTGTAGGTTTGTATATATGTTTGTAGGTTTGTATGTATGTTTGCTTGTTTGTATGTTTGCTTGTATGCGTGCACAAAATCACTACCTTTCCATCTAAATTCAGCGGAACCATGTCCTGATCTGAGTTGCCTATGCCCATATAAGCACAGACTTGTACATCGTCGGTACTGCTATTATTATTATTACTATTATTATAATTATGGTTATTATTATTATAATTATTATTATTATCGTTGTTGTTCGTGGGGCTGTACGGTTTGAGTGGGCGTTCCCAACCCTGGCCACTCAGGTAGATACAGGGTGGGGGGCAGAAGAATCTGGTGATGATGATTATCACGACGATGATGGTAGCGATGGTGGTGATGATGGTGGTGATGATGATTGTGATGACGATGATGGTGGTGGTGATGATGCTTGTTACGGTGATGATGATGATTACTACGACGACGATGATGATGATGATTGTGGCGATCGGTACCTCTTCTCACTGCCGTAAGATTTCTGAGCGACCTTGGCATGCAAGATCTTCAAATGCTTGTCCGTGCGACACCTCAAATACTCGGCCATTCTCTCCCTAGTAACAACAACAACAATTACAACAACAATAACAACAACAACATTAATAACATTAATAATAATAATAACAATAATAATAATAGTAATAACCTTGTTAGCCTTTGGGCTTTGAATGTGTTGTGATTGTTGTTGTGATTGTTGTTGTGATTGTTGTTGTTGTAATAGTAACTATTCGTGTTGTTGTTGTTGTTACAGCTGTTCCGTCCATCTTCGTATCTGAGATGTATAATATCATCGTCGTCGTTGTCGTCATCTTCGCCACCACCATCGTCATCGTCTTCATCATCATCATCATTATTTTCATCATCATCAACATCAGTACGGCCATCAATCAGCATCAATACCATCTTCAGTCGGTTAAATTTGAATTGGAAAGATGGGTGGGTTGATAATCAGGTGAAAATACGAAATATGCAATGATAAAATGGTGCGAAAAAACGAGTGAATGAGTAACGGAATAAATGAAGGAATGAAGAAACAAATGAGTAAACGAACGAACGAACAGGCAAACGAACGAACGAACAACAACCAAAACTAACCCGTTTGCGCAAAAACCACTACTTATATTAGCCGCAGCGACAACAACGTTAGTCGTACCGCTACTCAGAGATGCTAAATTTGATGACGACAGCGACGACGACGACGATAATGATGATGACGGTGACGTCATAATGAAAACGGAAGTGGGTAAAAGTGGACTGAGATCCAGAGAGGATGAATTAGGGCAGGCAGAGATGTCTTTGTTGTTGTTAGTGTTGTGGTTGTGATTGGTTGTTGCTGTCGTTGTCGTTGTGTGGTTGGTGGCGATGGCGACTGGAGGGGTAGGAAGTTGAGTGAGAGGAGGATGATGATGTTGTTGTTGGTAATGATGATACTGTTGTTGTTGTTGTTGTTGCTGCTGAGGATGATGATGATGACGGTCTTGTTGCTCGTGATGATGATTGTGATGCTGTAGTTGGTGGTGGTTGTGGTGGTATGGATGGATGTCTGGAGCATTGTAAGCTGCTGTGAGTGGATGGGCATACAAGTGTTGTTGTTGTTGTTGTTGATGATGATGATGATGTTGTTGATGATGAATGTGTGGGTGATGAGAGTGCAATTGGTGGTTGTGGGAATGATAATTGTTGCTGTATAACTGTTGTTGTTGTTGCTGTTGTTGTTGAAGATGGTGATGGTGATGGAATTGGTTAGACACGTTCGCTAAAGTTGGGGATGATGAATTGACATTGTTGTTGTTGTTGTTCATCTGGTTTTCATCTGTTAGGGGAAAATATACATGCATACATACATACATACATACAAACAAACAAACAAACAAACAAACAAACAAACAAACAAACAAACAAACAAACAAACAAACAAACAAACAAACAAACAAACAAACAAACAAACAAACAAACATACGTAAAGTACACACACATACACATGCAGATACAAACAAAAATGTAAATATTCTTAATTTCACCATCAAATTCACTTGCAAATTATTGTACACATGAATTTATTTTTCGCGATTTTTTCATTTAGATTTTTTTATATTCTGTTGATTATTTTTGTATATTCTGGTATATGTTTTGTATATTTTGGTATCTGTGTTTGTATACTCGGGTTTTTTGTATGTTTTTTTTGTATGTTTTTTGTATTTTGTATACTTTGTTATATATACATTTTTTCAATGGTTGATAGACGAGGATTTATGCTAAAAGCCATATCTTTGTCTGCGCGTGATGAATTATTGTTATTCATATTATTATTATTATTATTATTGTGGTTGTTAAAATTATTATCATGATTATTATTATTATTGTTGTTGTTGTTATTATTATTATTATTATTCTATTTTTATTGTACAGAGTGATTTTCTGAATGGTGATGATTTCGAGACAAAGGTGTTTTATGAATGTTTGAGTGTGCATGTGCATGAATGAATGAAACAAATGAATAAATGGATGAATGAATGAATGAACGAATAAATGAATGAATAAAACGAATGAGTATATAGATGAACGAATCAACTAACGCGAAAGAAAAAAAAATGAAAAAACGAACTAAAACGGACAATCAGCGAATGAACTATTGAATGAATGAATGAATGAACAACTGAATGTTTGAATGGATGAATAAATGATTGATGATGATG